GGAGGGGGGGGGGGGGGGGCGGGGGCACGATGATCGTAGTCACAATTGGAACATGGTGGCATTTTTCACACCACATAGGTGAGACTGATTTAAACAATCGGGGTTGGAGTTGGGGTTGGTGTAGTGTCATTGTCTCGTGAAAAGATATTATGGATGGCTCAAGTTCGTGGCGTGAGTGGAAATTTCCAGGAAGTTGATGTTGTCGCTGGACGTGTTGTGTCCAACCCGTCAACGCACCCTGCACGGGCAAAAGGTCGATCGTCTCCTCCGTATATTACGTGTCACCCAAACAAGTGACCACAGGGTTTCAGTTGAGTACAGCTTGCAACTGGATGGTCGTTACCTGAATGTCGTGTGAATGTATCGTAATGTCCGTATTTATCTTCTCTTCAACACACCCTACGCAGGCAAGGTCGATCGTCTCCGTTCCACGTGTCACCCAAACCCAGTCAGTCAGTATTCAGGTTCCAAATAGGTGGTCGTTTAGCTGAAAGTCATTTGAATGTATCATCCACTCACTGAAAAGACTCCACCACATCCCGTTCGACTACTGTGGGTATATCTCGAACGGATAATCTTTCTGTGGGTGTATTTAATTTTCCTAGTATCATACGCCCGTTTTTGTTTTTTAGTTCTTCCGTCATCCATGCCCGCATGCCCGCTGCATCGTCCGCGCCGCAGGTATTTACCGGGAAGGATGCGGTGGCGGGGCTGATGCTCGGGCTGAGTCCCAGGCTGCCGAGAGAGAGGTGGCTCCAGGCGGCTCTCATTCGCCATTTCCCCGAGGCTGTTGAAGTCTTGAGGGTGGGTACCCTCTTTTTTTTATTTTTTTAATGCCTGCTCGTTTATGTGTTAAACGGAGGAAGTGCCTGACGTACGTCATTACTGAGGATGAACTTGAGTATTTTTGGTGCACGGCATGTTGTGTTATGGATTTGGGGGTCATGGGGCCTGGACTTTTTTTTTTGTTTGTGTGGGATGTACCGCCATGACGAGGTCTACTACTAGGCTCTCCCTCTTCTATTTCCCCGGCCATCCACTCATGTTTTTAGGAGGTTAATCGAAACGGGCATGTAGTGGTCTCTATTGCGATGCTATCCCTGCGGATAGGGTACCAAGAGAGGGCAAGACGGGACATGGGACCACCAAAACGAAACCCATGGGTCGATGAAACTTGGCACCGTTCTTGACCGTGCTGCAAGCCAAACAGTTCGGGAAAAGAAGAGAGGAGGAGAGACGAGAAACGCTTCCCTCCCAGGGGGGTAGAAAACAGCCAAGACGCCCTTGCAAGCTTCACGGGGACCTACAACGTAGTCGTCGCAGACGTAGCTGTCGCAGTTTTGGTCAACTTCCCTCCCCTCCCCCAAATCCACTCGAACACAAGTTTCCGTGTTTATTTATACTATCTTGCGCCTCACCCGCTCCCCCCCCCCCCCCCCCCCGGGGGG